AGGAATGCAGGACAAGACCTCGCTTACCTTTACCAATTTCCCATTTATCTCTGGCAGCTCCCCAATTTTCCTGTTGTCCAGCATCCGAATTTCATAGGATTGCCCTGGGGGAAAGAAGACAAGGGCACCTCATGGTTAATCACAGAATTATCAGGGTTGGAGGGGACCTCTGGAGATCATCTAGTCCAAAGCAGGTTCACCCACAGCAAATTGCACAGGATCACGTCCAGACAGGTTTTGAATATCTCCAGAGGAGACTCCACAGCCTCCCTGGGCAGCCTGTGCCAGGGCTCTGCCACCCTCACAGTACAGAAGTTCTTCCTCATGTTCAGGTGGAACTTCCTGTGTTTTGGTTTGTGCTCGTTGCCCCTTAACCTGTCGCTGGGCACCACTGAAAAGTCTGGCCCCATCCTCTTGGCACCCACCCTTAAGGTATCTGTAAGCCTTGATGAGATCCCCTTCTGCTCTCCTCCAGGCTGAACAGACCCAGCTCCCTCAGCCTTTCCTCATCAGGGAGATGCCCCAGTCCCCTCATCATCTTCACTGCCCTCCCCTGGACTCTCTCCAGTAGTTCCTTGCCTTTCTTGAACTGGGGAACCCAGAACCAGACCCAGCACTCCAGATGTGGCCTCACCAGGGCAGAGTAGAGGAGGAGAACCTCCCTCGGCCTGCTGGCCACACTCTTCCTCACACACCCCAAGACACCATCAGCCTTCTTGGCCACGAGGGCACATTGCTGGCTCATGGGCAACTTGTTGTCCACCATCACTGCCATCTCTCCTCCAACATTTTGACATATTTTTCTGCCCCACTAGACACTCTGCTGGGTTTTCTTGTCATATTTTAGGTGGAGGGGGGTGTCATACCAGCCACAGCCCCTCTCCAGGAGGAGATAATCCTCCCCCTTCCTGCAGCAGCACTTTCCAGGAATTACCCTCAGTAACCCAAGATCAAGAACAGGGAAGAAATCGATTACACAAACCTCATCTGCTCCTTTGGTCGCTAACCCTGATCTTCCAGTTTTACTTGAAAGCAGCGGGTACAGCTTGAACCTGTAAAACATCCCCCTCCCACAGAGCACCCCAGCACGAATACACCAGTTAACCACCTACATCACGCCAATTTTAAATCCGGTTAAAATCCTACAGGCAATTCACGCAGAAGGCAGGCAGCAAGGCAAAGGAAGTGACGCTTCCAAACAGGACCAATCTGGGATTTACTACTGAGACGCTTTCCATTCCCAAGAGGAAATTTCCAAAGGCAAAGTTTGGTTTTGTTTTGGTTTTTTAAGGTGTTTACATGAGGTGCACAAGGCCTGGGGCTTCTCTCACCTTGGTTGAGATAGGTGAGCGTTTCGTCGTGGAGCTTGACGGCAGGGGAAGTGGCGGCACACAGCACGTACTGGAAAGGCAGAATTTTGTTCTCGTTTTCAGGAGGCAAACTCGATTCTTCCTGCTTGAAGATGGGCAGGGCAAGGACGTCGCTGCAAAAAGATTTGTCAGACACATTCATTTCAGCTCTGGCTACAGAGAGATGATGCGTTTGGTATTTTGTTCCTCCTCCTAAGAAGAGCTTTGTGCTTTTTTAAGTTAAAAAAAAAAAACAACTGCGTACCCTGACATCTCTCTGCAGAATTGCAAAGGAGCATTAAAGCAGACCGAGTAGTCCAAGAAGAGGACCCAACAGCTGCTTTTGCTAAAGCTTTTTTCAAGCGAGCCTCCCTATCCACCCAAACCCCACACATTTCTTGCTTCAAAGCTAACAGATAACAGAGTTTGTGTTTCAGACCGAAGCCCAGCTCCTCCGGCAGCGCGACTCCTCCGTCACTCATGCATCGGTGCAGAGCTGCTGCAAAGACAGACGCGTGCAGAACAACACCCGTGTCGTGCCGATAAACACCTGTCCTCTTCCTCATGATACCAGCCCACTCCCCTCCACCACCAAACCGGCCCCTAACCCTTTCCCCCACTCCAAGCGGAGGGGCCAGGAGCTCATTTACCCTCCAGGAGAGGCTTGGCAGGAATTTGAAGTCTTGCTCAGGTCAAGGTCACCAATTTTTTCACCTCCTCTGTGCTTATGAAAGCCCCCCGCCGCCCCAGCAAACAGGGGTGTCAGCCAAAGCAGAGGCAGAGACCTCGGGGCACGTTGGATGGGGACACACACACACGTGTGTACGGTCAGAGCACCAAACCATCCCTCCCACGGCCGTCACCTGCTGCACGACGCACACAAACATCTCGGTGGAGCAAATCCCGCAGGCTCCGACATGGAAAGAGCCCTTCCAGCACAAAGGCAGCAGGAAGCGGACCCTCAGCTTTCCCCAAACTCATCAACAAGCCCCCAGATCCAAACTGGGTGGACTGCGTACCACACAACTAGCCAGCCCTGACCCAAACCAAGAGTTTGGGATACCCACAGAGGTCAGAAGATGCTGCGTGGCATGGGCGGCACAGCCCACGCCATGGGTCCCCACACCACGGGATTTGGGAGAAACCAGACCCAGGTTTCCAAGACAACCACAGGGACCTCGTTTTATACCTCACGGATCTGCCTCTTGCCGAAAGTCAACACGATTCCTGCCCAGCCTATGTTTAACGACAGGAGGAACTGCCCTGGGAAGCCATCAGGATGGCTTCTCCACAAACCATCAACCTCCAACAGCCCAAAAAACCCTTCCTGGTTACATGAGACGAGTTATACGGGAGCTTCACGTTGTGCCACAGAGTGGCACGGAGTCGTTCCAGCTGGCACCAGCTTGGGCTCACCATCCTCTGGATGCTGCCATGCCGCTCTTGGCGCCAGCTGGGAAAAGCCAGGGTGTTCAAGCCTTGTGCTACCAACATTTTGCAGGAGAAGGATGTCTCCAGGTCCTTGCAATTATGCAAAACCTTCGCTGTCTCCACTCCCCTGCGATCACAGACACTTTTCCATACTTAAAAGGCCACGTGGCAACAAGAACTTGCGGAATAATGTTAATTTAAAAACTTTCAGCGATACCGCTGAGCCTACGGGCACATATTTCATAGAAATTATTTCAGAAGCTGACTCTCAGCAGTTGTTTTGAGCCATAACAATGGCCAAGAACAACTACTCCATAGGAACATCCTCCCACCCATCCACACGAGCAGAGGCCAGAGCAAAACCAGAGCCCGGGTAAACAGGCTTGAGTGGCACAGATGTGACCAAAGAGCTGTGGATCAGCTGCTGGGGCCACCCAGCACCATCCCACCGTCCCTGGGTGAAACGCGGTGTGGGGCCAGAGCAGTTCGGGTCCCTTGGAAGGGCAGCAGCAAAGCACTAAGCCCTGATGAAGAGTCAGGTCACCTGCCCCTCCTGTTACTGGCTTTGGGCTCACAGGAGTGCAAGGAAGGAGTTAAATACACTTTTTTTTTTTAGTTGAACATTAAAAACCTTTCCCAAGAAAAAACCGGACTTATCTGGCCAAATACCAGCTCCCACCCTAACAGGGCTTTAACCTTTTGGTTTCCAGAGACTAAATATCCACCCTTCCTCCAGCGTTGTGCAAGTAACACCTACCACCGCTGCTCAAACCCGATCGGGAGAGCCCTTCTCCACCCAAATCCAAAATTATTAGACGTTACACAGAGCTGCACGGATGCCGCGGTCTCGACATCAAGGCACGTGTACCCAATTAGGCAAATTATACAACCCGGAGGACGAACTTCCCTGCAGCTCCATCTCATTAGCAGAGGAATGGTGTTTCCTCCTGTAAAAGGATTTCTCATCCGAGCGGGCTGCCGAGGCAGGACGAAGCACGGATGTTACCGATCCCTGTAAGAAAGCACGAGGAGGGGGAAGAGCAGCATTAACCTTCTGAACCCAAAGAGATGGGAAAATTAATTTAAAGGCTACACCCTGCACAAACTCTCCCCGCACAACAAGATGTGCTTCTCCTGCAGGCGTGAGAGCTCGTTTTCCTCGTAGGCTTTGACACGGCAACGCTTCAATCCCACTTCTGCAGCCTCAGGAAATCCCGAGGTTTCCGCTCTTTCTTTTGCTTTGCCTTGCACAAAAACAGAGAAGGAGGTAAAGTTCGACTGTGACCTCCCTGCACGGAGAGCCAGAACATCGCCAGCATCCCGGCTTTCACTCCCCTTTTCCCCACGCACGCGGAGCTCTGACGTGATGCTGGATCCACGTTACGCAGCGCAGCGATCGGCTGTAATATCACAAACCGCTTTTCAGGGCTCCAGAAACTCCACGTGGCCACGAACACTGCTCGGACTGCCAAAAATCACCTGCCAAGACGAACGGCAGAGCCAGCCCTGCAAAACCTCCCCAAATCCAACCTCTGGATTTGTGTTTGCAAAGACCCTGCTTAACCACAACCCAAACCCCCACATTTTATCACAAGCTGCAAAAAGGTAAAAAAAAAACCCAACAACAAAACCCCAAAACTTGGGGTAGTTGCACCCCTGTATTTCTGGAACAAGAGTCCAACCCAATTAATTAGGAATATTCATCAAGCAAATGATGGGTTTGGCGTGACTCGGTTGGTAGAGCATCACCGCAACATCCCTGCTTGCGGGGAGCGATCCTTTGCCATCGCAACCGCCACGGGTCCTCCGCACCCGCCACGGGTTTTGGTAAGAGCCCCTCGACTGCGACCTCTGGTTGTTCAGATGCCAATCCATGTCTGTGCTGTAGGACCCAGGTAACAGGGTCAGCCTTACGCGTTGCAGAGCACAATAAAAAAATTAAATATTTATAGAGATAACACGGTTATAAAACGGCAAGGGAAAGCTCGGTGGCTCCTGGGCTTGGGGTCTTCACGGCATCTCCAGGGGAAAGACGACCTCAGCCACCGGCAAAAGGCCGCAGCCATGGCCTGCAAGGCGATTCATAGAAAGCACTTTGTTATTTTGCCTCCTGCTAAATCTCCCACCCCTGCCATCGCCCACCAAGTTCAAGAGCAGACATTTTGTGGGTTGTTTGGGGAGAGCGGGGAAGCTGCGAGTCCTTCAGGTATCAACATCCCCTGTGACGTCCCCGCGACAGCCAGCGTGGCCAAACCGAGCAACAATCAGGGGATTTTTCTTTAGACAAACCCACGCATGGTGCTGCCGACTCCAAAGGCACCTGGAGAAGTTCCTGCAACTCCTGGGGACATAGCTCCCTTTAAAAAACAAAACAAAACCAATATTTCCCTGTGTAATTTAACATGCTTTTGGGGAACGACACTTTACTTAAAGCCTCCGGTTCTGGAGTGGGAGAGAATCTCCTGGAAGAGAGGGGGGAAAAAAAAAATAATTACAGAAAAACTCTGCGGCTGGATGTGTTCAGCCGATGCCCGATCATCACCTCCGAAGCTGCTTCCGCCTTCCTAAAAACCTAATTCCAGGGAACAACAGCAACATCAAGAATTCAGGTTCATTAACAAAGGCAAAGCACAATCCTACATACAATTCAAACGAGAAAAAGCTTCCAGCCGTTAACAAAGGCAAAGCACAATCCTACGTACAATTCAAACGAGAAAAAGCTTCCAGCCGAGTGACAACCTTCCTCATCCACCACCACCTACCAGCGCTCGTTCCCAAGGCAGTAACGTGCCTCTTCCATAGGGAGAAGGGATGAAAGCGGAAAAAAAAACCCACGGGACAAGCACAGAAAAGTCACAAATACGCTCAAAACCCGAGGTGCCTGCTGAAACCTTCCCCCTCTTCCCACGACACGGTGAGAAAATGTCAGATGTCAGGACAGGAAGGTCGGCGCGCTCACCTACGACGGCACACGCTCTATTTACGGGCAGCGTAGGTCAAGAAAAGTCTCCGAAAAAGAGAGTCGGGTTTCAGACGGCCAAGCGAGCCCTGCAGAGAGCGCAGCTCGGCACCAGGTCGGGCTCAGAGCAGCGGCACAACCATCGCGTCGCCAACGCGGAGCTCAAAGCCCTTTGGCACTGGTAATACCGGCGTGGAAAAGCTTTGCAGGCAGTTCGGTGCACGGCAAAGGGTTGGGAAACCTCTGCTCAGACCTCCGGTGCTGAAAACCGGTGCCCGGCTGGGTCAGCCGTGGTAGGTAAAGGATGTAAAGACTTCGAAAGCTCATACCTGAAAGATTTCCTCGTGCAATTAAAACTTTGATGCACGGCCAATGGGTTTTAGCTCGATGGAGGCAAATTTACACGTTAAAGATGATCCACGACACCTTTGCTCGCCCTCTCTGAGAGGGAAGCGTTTGTGCACGGGACCCCTCGCCCAAAAGGAAGGGAAAAGGGGAGGAAAAGGAGCTTTGAAGCTGGACCTCCCCTGCATACATTGGGAATTCATTTGTTCCCTCCCCATCAAAGGTAACAAAGGAGGAATTCCTCCTCCGAAAAGCTGCCGGTCACAGCGCTCGACGTTGTTATTGCCGTGAGAGACGACGGACACGCTCCCTCCGAGCTTGCACACCTTTGGGACTTTGTGGGTTTCCCCCCCTCTCAAGCGCCCCAATTAAACAAACCCCAAAGGTTGTGACAGATCCTAACGGTGGCCAGGGATAACTTTGGGAAGGTGCCGGCTCTTGTCCCTGGAAGGAAGTAGAGACGAAGGCTGGATGAGAAGAGCTGCTCTTCCACCTCCCCTGGAAAAGGGCAGTGGGTTGGAAGTGGCTTTCCAGCCTGTTTTACCACGAGCAATCACCCAACGGGTCATTTTTAATTCCCACTTCTACCATTTCCAATTGCAGCCCCTCAGAAAGCCCCAGTTTTGCGTCACGGTGTCCGTCCTCTGGTGCCATCCTCCTGCCGGACGCCTTAACCTCAGCGCCAACCTCCAAGACCTTTCTTCACCACCCACCTCTGTGCCCAGCTCCTACCTCGGGTCTGCGGGGAGGGATCCATCTTATCCTGCCTCCCCACTTCCAGCCAAGGGAGATCCCAGGATGAAAAGGAGCAGAACAGAAGTCACATTTGAACTAATAAAACTCTCATCCCAAATTACACCAAAGGAGCTCTCTTGCAGATGGTGCTGGATCTGCACCGGCCCACGACAGAGCTAATTAATCAAGGACGGCGGCGGGGAAGCACGTGGCCGCTTGCAGAACGACTCGGCAGACCCCATCCAGCCCAACACCTCATCCACGGGCTGCGCTTCCCCGTTGTAACTCCCGCAGCCAGAAACGAGGCGTTATGGGGTCTCAAACGCAGCACTTTGGCCTCACCGCTGCACGGAGGCTCGGCTGAGCGGTTGGATGCCAGAGCCGGGATCAGGAGGGCAGAGCGGCGAAGCAAAGCGGGACCCACCTACTTGTGCGATATGGTTTGAGCATCTGACGCTACGAGGTCCTGATCCCTGCGCTCATCCATGGGGGGTTTAACCTCGTGGGGGTCCTGCTCCTCTCCTTTGCTCCCGGTTTAGCTCTGAGTTGGAAGAACAGAGCTAGTATGACCCGAAAAAAACACACCGGTGTTCCTCCGGGAGGGTAATTAATTAGGGCAAAGTACTGCTCCGGGGGCGATCACCATACGCTGCATAAAACCAAAGCAACCGGCCATGGGCTCTTCTAACCAGCACCGGAGGAGAAGCGCGGGACTAATGCTGCATGGTTTAGCTGCAGTTTGAGGACGTCAGGAAGCCAAAGACCAAGAGCAGCGCAGGGGCTGCGCAGCCCCACGACCTCGAATACGTCCACCCTCCGAAACGGCTGCCCAGGGAGCCCCCAAAGCCCCGAGCGGCCCACAAAGCAACCGGCCATGGGCTCTTCTAACCAGCACCGGAGGAGAAGCGCGGGACTAATGCTGCATGGTTTAGCTGCAGTTTGAGGACGTCAGGAAGCCAAAGACCAAGAGCAGCGCAGGGGCTGCGCAGCCCCACGACCTCGAATACGTCCACCCTCCGAAACGGCTGCCCAGGGAGCCCCCAAAGCCCCGAGCGGCCCATGGGCTCTTCGCAACCGCGACTCCATCCCAACTTCAAGCAGCCACCACCACATCTCGGGGTTGATGCCAGATTCAAGCACCCAGTTCCCTCCTGAACCATCCCCCGGTGCGACATCGTGGCTGCCAAACATGCCGGCAAGCAGCTCAGTCTCCCATTTTTAGGCACATTTTGGGGCTCCTCAGCTTGCCCTGAGCCCCCCGGGGTGGCCAACCCCTCTCCCAGGTGCAGGATGGACCCTTTAACGTGGCTGGAGCAGCCAGAGCACCCACCTACCTCATGCTGTAGGCCCCAGCGCCCAGCTCCTGGCCAATACCCGACAGGCTGGCGTCGAAGT